CTCTTTATTTGTAAAATAATTTTAAAGACCAAGTCAGGTAGTTGGCATGGTGCCTGGTTCATTCTGAGTCCTCATCTCAGTCACATAAGCAGAGTGGACATAGAAGAAAATTTGCTGAATATGTGAGTGCAGCATCATGAAAATTCTCGCTTATAGGAGACCTTTCTTTTATGGTTTTAATTTTATTTTCCTTTTATCGAAAATGGGTTCCCTCTCCTATAACATACACTGATTATGGTTTCCCCTTCCTCTACCCCTCCTACCTCTACTACCATCCAGATCCACTCCCTTCAGTCTCTCATTAGAAAAAAAAAAAAAGGCTTCTAAGGCATACTAAACATTTTAACAAAAGAAAATATAATGAGATAAAACGAAACCATCACATCAGAGTTGTTTAGAAGTCCCTCTTAACCATAAGGTCCCCGGAGAATTGTATGGTGTCCACTGTCATACAACCTCAGCATCTGGTGCAGGAGGTAGCCCATGAAAGTTACTTAGGCTACGACTCAGTCACGGAACCCTTCCTGGAGTTCAGGGGGCCTTTGATAACTGGAGATGCTGTCAATTGCATAGATGAATTTGGCAGCTTATGCAGGGGAGTGAGTGCCTGCCATTCAGGTGCCAGGGGAAGTGGCAGCAGAAATGGAGTCCTTCCTGTGTGCAGTAGAAGGGTCTGGGAGCAGTGCACAAAGCTCCCGAGTGTTCAGCAGAGGCAGCAATGGCATGGTTCCAGGCTGTTGACTCACTGCCTTATAACGATGACACAAACCTTCAGAAGCACACTGGCCAGCTCCAGCTGGATGACAGTAGTCATTAGAGGTAAGGGGCTTGGTCACTTGCCCAGGTAAAGATGCTGACCACTCGGAAGAAATCCAGAAATATATGTTATGAAGGTTTAGCTGTTAGTCCCATGTGAGCAAGACTTGGAGGCTCAGAACGCAGGGCTACATCTGTAAACTGAGAGAGCAAGCCTCTGCTTCTTTGCAGGCCAGGAAAATCCTCAGACTCAATCACAAAGGGAGTGGGGGAGGAGACTTGGTCTTTTGACCACTAGGCTTGTGAGTGTCAGAGCCCAGGGCTCCATTTCTACTGGGGAGTTTACCAGACCCATGACAATAGAGCCTGCTAATCCTTTTAAGTCTGTGCAGACTTGTTTGTCTAGCACGGAGGGAGAAGCCAAGCTTCATCAGACTGCAGGAATGGACAGACTGAAGAAAAGTCCTTTGTACAGAGTTGACGTCGTGGTCTTTCTTTTAACTTTCTGGTCAAGGCAGACTGAAAAAAAAAACATATACATATACACATACACACTTGACCAAGGGTAAAGCACCAGGCGGAGGAGGTGCAGGGTGGAAATTCTTGTCCAAAGCAAATCCCTCCAAGCTCACTGTGGCCACAGTCTCAGCTTTTTCAGAAAACTGATCTTGACCTTGACGAGATCTGGGCTGTGTTTTGGAGAAGGCTAGTCACCAGTGAGAGATTTTTGGCTGTTCCTGGTTCACTTTAAAGGGTTTTTTCCCCTCTAAGTGACTTTCAGATAGAATGCCAAATCAATTCAGCTGTGCCAGTTCCCAAATTCTAAGGTATCTGGGGCAAAATCTGGGGTCTATGCCCTCGTGAGGTGGGAAGGCTGCCCCGTGGTGGTTGGATGTAGAAGGCAGAGTTACTCGGTCCTCCCAGCCTTTGGAAGAACAAGTGTGATTTCAGGCTTTGCCTGGCAACAGGTGTCTGGGAAGGCTGTGTTAGCGGGGTTCTGACTCATCCTTTTCAAATCACACTGTGATTGGTCAGGCATCTCCTTCACTAGGTCAAGGGTGAAAAACGTTATAGGAGTTTAAAGAGGCAGAACTGGAACTGAATAGATAGGAACTTTTTCCTTGGAAGTGGTCACTGAGACCACCGGATCCTGATGGTTCAGAGTCAGAGGCCGGGTGGAGGCCACCAAGAATGGGTTTAGGCCTTAGTGAAACAATGTTTGCAGCTCCCTCCTCCTAAGGGCAGACATGTCAGAGATCTGCCCATGAGATTTAACTCAGTTTCTACTGGACTCTGGCACTCTGGCAGGTGGGATGGCTCCTGCTGTCTTGTCATTAGTCTGGTGACCTGTCCAAGTGTGTGTAGACTGTGAAAGAATCCTAGGTTTTGTTATTGCACTGAATGGGCAGGTGGGGCTCAGGCCTCGTGGCCAGGGGCGCCCATGAGCTTGCCTGCAGGGGATGCCACTGCTTTCTCTATGTGTGAGGCTTTAAGAAGTAAAGGGGGGGGGCAGAGAGATGGCTCAATGGTTAAGGTCTCAATGGCTACGGGGACTGGCTGCTCTTCCAGAGGTCCTGAGTTCAATTCCCAGCAACCACATAGTGCCTCACAACCATCTAGAGTGGGATCTGATGCCCTCTTCTGTCATAAAGGCATGCAGGCAGACAGAACACTGTATACATAATAAATAAATATTTTTTAAAAAGGAAGTAAAGCTCGTCTTGGTGTAGCTCATCCTTCTGCTCTGGTGGAAGAGAAAGGCCTAAAGATGCCTTCCCTCCCCCATTTCCTAAGTCTTGTCTCTTCCTGTGACTCTCCTAACTAGGATCCTTTGTAGCACAGCTTGCAGTGGGTCCGTGCTTGGAAATCGCTCCAGCTTCCCTGGTCAGTCTACACGCAGCTGCTTCTCACTCTGGCAGACCCTACACACTTGTGTTGTACACACAACACCAGGCCTATGTTCAGGAGGACTGCAGGGATCCCTACCAAACCTCCCGAATGTCTGGGGTCTTAATGAACAGAATGAGGGACAGAGTTATTATAATCAGAATCTTGTGTGATTTATTTCTTGGAAATAAACACAATATTTAGAGGGCAGGATTCTCTCTGTAGGTAGTAGTTGCTTCCCTGGGCTTTGGGGGAGAGGGTAAGTTTCTGCTGCGTCAGAACTTGGGACAACTATCAATCAATTCCTGTGGCAACCTTTCTTTGACCTTTAAGACTGTAGTGAGCTGGCCCAGTTTCTGTGGCTAATTGTGCAATACGACAGCCTGGGTAAGTTAAAAAGCAAAAGGGCCTCTGTTTCTGGAGGTCTAAGATGAAGAGGTACATCTGATAAGGGTTTTCTAGTCCCAAGAGGTCATCACAGGACATCCCATGGCAAGACAAAGGAGAATGTATGTATTTGTGTGTGTGTATGCCTTTAGTTTCACTCTTACAAAGCCACCAGTAAGTCTGCCATTACTCTATTCTAATGATACTATCTAATCCTCTTGACCAGCCATAGGCCCCTCAGCCTCACAGCTGATGTAAGTTCCAACCTTACTAATAAATACCTTACAATAACCATTAAATTTCAAAACATTAACCCTCAGGAAGGATGATTGGAAGATGCTCTAGTCACGTGACTGGAAGTACCACAAAGGTGTGTCTTGGTTCATGGCTGCATCCAATGAAGTTTGAATGTTTCTTATGGAATGTAAGGATTCTAGTTGTGTCTGCTGTTTCCTCCTCTGTTTTCTTTTCCCCAACCCCTTCACCTTGACAGGCTAGAAGTCTATGATTAACCTGCTCTCTAACCACGAAGGCAACCTCTGCTGGGAATGACTTACACCTACCCCGTCCGCTGCAGACAGGGCTGGCTTCCTGAGCATGAGATCTGTGAGTTTGAGGCCAGCCTGGTCTACAGTGTGAATTCCAGGACATTCAGAGCTAGACAGAGAAACCCTGTCTCAGAAAAAAAGAAGAAGAAGAAGAAAAAAAAGAATTATTTGACAGTCTGTGTCTGTGGGTTTCCTGGTATACTTCAGGAGGCCAGGGAACAGTCACACACACATATCCCTATGTCATTCTTCATTGAACTCTTCAGACAGGGATCTGGTCTCTCTCAGAGGATAAGAGTATATCAGATTTTTAAAGGTGGCCTGGAATAATTCATAGTCTATACAACTGCTCCATGGAAAATTAAAAAATAGTATTCAAATTATGATTTTGTTCCCTTGTAAGATACTATTGGTTTTATTTGTAACATACTACCACAAGTGGCGGATGAAAGGATTCAGGCATTATGCTGGCCTGCCCCTGTTACCTGGCAGAATGCACTCAGGCAGCACTCTGGTCAGCCCAGGGTTCCAAGAGAGCTAGTCTGCACACAGGCGCAAAGGACCCCTTTAAAGGACAGACCCCTGCCCACTTATGCTCTCCTCTCTTTGCTGTCTCTTACCCTTTCCTCTTTGCTCTCCTCTCTGGCTCTCTCCCCTTTGCCCCTTTCTCTCTCTCTCTCTTATCTCTCTCTCTCTCTCTCTCTCTCTCTCTCTCTCTCTCTCTCTCTCTCTCTCTCTTCTCTCTCTTTCTTCTCTACCTCTCGCTCCCCCGCCCCATGGTTCGTGTTCCACAACGTGCACTCTCTTTAAAGTAAACAAAAGAACAACAGCAGAGGCACCCAAAGTCATTCAATCTGAACTTCCCATTTAAAAGATAGAAAACTGAGGCTTAAAGAGAACGGGGTGGCTGCCCGAGATCACACAGAGCCTTAAGAACACAATTTAAAAAGCTCTGTCACCTCCTTTCTGAGCACCTCCACTCTCCAACATAAAGGTCTTAGGCATTCTAGTTATTAACTAACTCAGGAGGGTCAAGGATCTGAGGAGTGGGTGGAGCATGGCTGTCACGTGCTCAGGACGGGGTATGTGGGGTCTTGGTAGTTTTTACCCCTCCATGTTATCACCCATTCATCATCAACTCTTCACTGAGCAACTACCTTATGCCAGGCTCTGAGCTCAGGGCTATGAATAGCAAGCAGATATGATTTGATTTGTGTGTGTGTGTGTGTGTGTGTGAGAGAGAGAGAGAGAGAGAGAGAGAGAGAGAGAGAGAGAGAGAGAGAGAGAGAGAGAGAGAGAGAGAGAATGAATCAGCCAGCCAGCCAGCCAGCCAAATAACAACCCCTCTGTTGTGCCTCATCTAAGAGATCACTGTTTTTAGCATCAATACCTCCTGTTAGAACACTGAGAGCTCTGGTCCTTGGGCTCTGGAAGTCTGTAGGAGCAATCCCTGCATCCCAGCAGGCAGGGTGTCCTTCTCTGCTTTATTTCAAACCCAAGCTCATGGTTGATGGCTGATTCAGTGAGACCTGAACATTCTGTCTTGCTGCCTCACAGAGGAATCGAAGCCAAGGTTAGATGCTAATAATTGTGTTCTCTCTCTCTCTTCCTCTCTCTCTCTCTCTCTCTCTGTGTGTGTGTGTGTGTGTGTGTGTGTGTGTGTGTGTGTCTGTCTGTCTGTCTGTCTGTCTGTCTGTCTGTCTGTCCCTGTCTTTGGGTCTCTCTGTCTCTGTCTCCGTCTCCCCCCAATCCCCATCTCTGGAAACACAGAATATCAATTCCAAGTTATGTGGTTCTTATTTATCAGAAAGAAATGGACGCCTAGAACAATTTAACCACCTGGTTAAGTTGTAAATCCAGGCGACTAGTGAACTTTTCTAACCGTTTAAACTTCTCATTGATTTAGGAGGCAGAGCACAGGAAAGACTTCATCTAACTTCATCTGAAATATTGCTGGCCCCATGATAGTGCAGCTTGGAAGGAAGTCAAGTTGGCTGCAATCTCATCCTGCCATGGACTTTCACTAAGTCACAGCTATTATGGATGCTTCCGAGTGACTGGAAGTCAAACCAGAATGTCCCAAATGCCAGTTGCCCCTGCTCACTCTGACAAAAGGCTGAGCCCCTGCGGTTGAGGTTAAGCCAGGTGGCAGGCAGGCCTGTGTTGCACCAGTCCCAGCCCCAGGAAGAATTCAAAGACCATGGCCCTACCCCAAGATGTTTTGGGTTAAGCATGGAATTATTGTTTTCCCTTCAAAGACCAGGAAAAAAGGCTGCCCGTGAATGCCCTGGATACTCTGAAAGGCATGCGCCTTTGATGCTTGTGAAGACCCTCTCTGACTGAATGAATAGCACAGCCCTTGCCTGGTCTCAGAACCCAGGCCTTCTGGAGTGGGTGGGACCTCAAAGTTCACTGATTCCACCTCCCCTAGCGGGCACGTATTTCTTGGTGTACTTCCACCCTCATAATTCTCAAAAATACAAAAGCTTCCCCCCACTTTGCATAGGACTACATCTTGTCAGACGCCCCCCACCTCCCCTCACCATCACCACTGTCCCTGTCTAGGACTCCCAGATCTGCCATCTGAGGTCTCGGCCTGCTCTCTGTTGCCTTGGGCTCCTGGAGAAGTTTGAGTCTGTCGTGGGCTAGGCTTCAAGCAAGTTCTCCATGTCAATATTTGTCTGTCTTCCCATATATGGTTCTGAAGCCCCCCCAGTTTACATGGGTAAACAGAAGAAGTGCAAAGCAGCCCCCCAAACTTCAGTTGCTGACTGCCTAAAGAAGGAAATGGGGTTCTTATCTCCCTGGCCTCATGGCAGTCTGGTCAACATTGAACCTGGAAATTAAATGTTTTGGGTTTGCTTTCTGTTGCCTTGAAAACTCACTATCTGTATATCCTCTTCCTGCAGGGGCATGACTTGTGACCTACCACCCTAGAACTTGGTCTGACTTAATTCTCTTTGACTCCTGTCTCAACATAACCATTGTTGAGGTCAATAATTGTCTACATAATTTGGGAATGGCCACAGAGGACAAAGTAGCAGGCTTCCTGCTAAGCTGGATCATGGGGTGTGTCCCCGATGCTGACTAAGCCTGGGCTCCTACACACCCATATGGGAAGCAGATATAAGCAGAGATCTGCAAGCTGAGGACGGAACCTGCTCAGTAGATCAGGCCCAGCTCTATAGCTGAGCAGCAGTCTTTAGTTTTGTGCCTAGGTAAGAGGCAGAGAACCCTGGGGGCCAGCTGCAGCTGGGGTAGCTTGTAGGGCAGAGCTGACCCTGAAGCTTCAGAGACGACCTCTGGAGGACTGAGTGGTATTGCCTGGTCAGCTTCTTAATGAGCTCCTCCAGGCCCATGGCTTCCCTTTCATACACTCAGAAACACTTAATATTCAGTGGAGTAACCCGGCAGAGATGAGTCTTGCATTGTCTGCCTAACTGGATCAGCAAACCCTCCAGGGGTTATTTAGACCACAGTAAAAAGAGCTCAAGAATGTGACCTGATCTGAAATGTACAGAGGAGAATAAATGGACGCTTCTGCCAGGTCTCTGGAGATGAAGTGGTGGGCATGAGGGTGTGTGTATGGCTCTGTAAGGGGTCCGTCTGGCTATCCCTTATGCACCAGCAAAAATACAGTTCCAATACGGGAGGGAGAACAGGGGCTGGGGGGTGGGGCTGGTAGGCTGTGTGCAGTTAGGGAAACTTTGCTTACTTTCCCTCAGTAATGATTGTGACTCTGGATAAATGTTTGTGCTTCTCTCTCTCTCTCTCTCTCTCTCTCTCTCTCTCTCTCTCTCTCTCTCTCTCTCTCTCTCTCTCTGTGTGTGTGTGTGTGTAGCATGCTCATGTTTGTTTGAGCTACAGTGACTTGGTTGGGAAGAATCTGGTTTTTACCCTGCACTTGAGTGGGATACCAAGAAAAGGACCAGACTTAGTGCCCCAAATCCCAAGTGTTGTAATTTAAGAAAAGCAGCGCTCAAGAGAGAAAGATGCAACAGGGTTCAAGCAGAGGGTTTTTTTAAATTAGGGAAAGGGATCATAAAAATGGGAAAGGGGAGGAGGGAAATCAAATCAGTAGGGAGAGAGGGGCAGAGAGAGAGAGAGACAGAGAGAGAGAGAGAGACAGAGGGAGAGGGAGAGGGAGAGGGAGAGGGAGAGGGAGAGGGAGAGGGAGAGGGAGAGGGAGAGGGAGAGGGAGAGGGAGAGGGAGAGGGAGAGGGAGAGGGAGAGGGAGAGGGAGAGGGAGAGAGGAGGATGGGATGGGATGGGAGGTAGGCAGGGCCCTTTTAAAAGGGAACATAGGGAATACGCACAGGTGGTGCTCTTAGTGGCTGCAGCTGAGGGTGTATTCTGTCAGAACTCCAAGGACAGGCCAGTACAGATGCCTGAATACTAACACCAAGCCCAACTTGAGTAAGCCCAGCCTGTGCCTGCCCCTGTCCCCTAAGACCAATGGAAGCATTGGATTTGACTTCCATAAAAGAATCCAAGGATTAGAGGAGCTCCCTATCACCTAACTGGTAAGTGAGTGAAAACGGTAGATGGCTTGGGGTTTCCTTTTGGAACAGAAAGAGATTTGTGCTGACGTGATGGGACTTCAGGGCTGCGGTGAGGGATATATTGCATCTGAAGGTGAGCTTTGTTCAGCTTGGTTCTTTGGGGGAGAGACAGAATAAGGACCTTGCCCCAGTCTGGGGCTGTCATAACAAGGTCTTAGAATAGAGGTGTAGTTGGAGAATTTTAAGTGCCTGTGAGGAAACTCCAAGAAAACAAGTCATGAGTCTTGTGATCTCAGTTTCTTTAAAAACACTGAATTGGGGCTGGAGAGATGGCTCAGAGGTTAAGAGCACTGACTGCTCTTCCAAAGGTCCCGAGTTCAATTCCCAGCAACCACTTGGTGGCTCACAACCATCTATAACAAGATCTGGTGCCCTCTTCTCAGACATACATGCAGGCAGAATACTGCATAATAAATAAATAAATCTTAAAAAAACACAGAATTGTTCTTGGAATTCACCTTCACACCCCTCCCAGGTGTAGTGAAGAGCAGTGAGTTTACTTCAGATTACTCATTACAACTGGTTATGGCTATATGTTTGTATGACTATGGGAAAACATGTTTTTGCCTCACGTGGTTTGCCCGCTATGTGCAGGTTGTCCTTGTGGTTGGACACTTTCCTCATGTGTCTCCTCATAACCCTCAGAGTATAACTTGTCTGATGCTCCGAATAAAGTTGCCTATGGCATGAGACTTAGTCTGCTCCATTTATAAGCTCCATTCTCCTAGGTCCCACTGCCTCTAGGGCAGTGACTTGGGACTATCTTAGACATCACTGTTTGGACTTGTGCTCAGCTACTCAAGGCTGCCCAAGGCTGCATGCAGTCAAAATTGAAACCTTCAAGATTACTTTATGAGGTGCAGTAGATAGTCTGTTGTTTACGTGAAGTTCCTGGCCATTCTCAAATGGACCAAACACAAGCAAGGACAAAGTTGAAAGAATTCTAATCACTGTTCCACCTGGAAAGATGCTTTCCAGGGCTTCTTGGTGAATTCATTCCCCACTGATCATGCCAGACTCAAACTAGCGCTAGAACACAATAAATCCTTCCTGAACAGATGGTTCAAACAATACATAACAAGTCAACATCACTGCTGTAGTAGGTAAACAGCCTGGACACCCCCAGACTCTGAGCACACACATATGTGACTTTGAAAGTTGCAGGGGGTGGGGGGAGTTACCTGTCTTATTAAACACGGTGGAAAAACATGAGTTTTGTCACTACAGAAGACATCAGTTACAATGTGACCTTTTCATTTTGACTCAGATCTGTTCTGCTTGCTAGTAAACAGAAACCATTATACTGAAAATACCTTTCAAAACTCATATTGTGATGCTTTTTAGCTTTTTTTTCAAATGTGGTTACATGTGAACATAGCATTTGACTTTGTAATTCTCTGGGTTTGTGGAGGGCAAGGCAGTTTCAGTATTCCCATTTTACAGCTGAGGATGTTGAAGCTGAATGTACTCCCAAATACACAAAGTTCAGACAGAAATGACTCGAGATTTTGTGCCTTTCTAGTACCCCAAGGGGGGGGGACTTGAGTCATCAGGAGTGTGTAATTTCCTTTTGTTCCACCAAATGAGAGGTGGCTCTCAATCTGGTCTGCATGGAAACGCTATTATAAGCCAGATGCAGGCTCTGAATGGCTATGCAATTACCAGGACAAAGGGTATAATTTGGGGAGTGCAGCCTGGGTGGGCTTTCCTTACAATAAACTCTGCTATTATCAGACAAGTTCACGCATTTGAACCAAACGAAGGTGATTCTGGTCCAAAACATGTCTGGCTGCAGCCTTCATGTCTTGGAGACACTCAGTAGAGCTCAGTGTCTACAGCCATTCCTGTAAATTCAGAGTAAAAAGCAAGGGAAACACACACAGGTATAGTGACCCTGGTAGTAACCTCCTTAACTCCACCACCTGGGTTCTGGGAAGTGCTCCGATCCCTGTGTGAAGCCTGGGCTAAGTCTTTCCCTCTATGTGGAGCACCATCAAGTCAACTGCCAGTCCTGATGGGCTTAACTGTGGTTCAAAACAGAGAGGCCATCGGCATTCCGGGGGATGGATGGCTACGTCACCTCTGGTGTTCACCAAGGCATGCTAGAGCCTTTTGGTTCAGTTTCCTCACCCAGAGACTTGGTGGGAGTGGTAAGAGCAGCTGTGGTCAATATGTTTCTGGGCTAGGCTGGATGCTGGTGCACCTGCTGTCTGCCCCACGTGACCTGATGCATTCTTCAAGCCAGCACGTGAGGTAGACAGTCTTGTTCATATTTAACAGAGGGAGATGTCTATACATGAAGGGATTTAATGACCCGTGAAAATAAAAAGATAAAAAAGAGTGGCCCTTGGAATTCCAAAGCAGCCTTCCCCCCACAGCTAGCCTGTGTTTGCTTCCAGACCCGACCATCCTCAGAAAAGCAACTGAGAAGGTGGAATTAAGCAGGGCCCGCATGCTGAATTTGACATAAACAAGGTTACTGTCTCGTGCTCTTGCTCACAATGACGAACGTCCCTCCATGGCTAAAACGCTACCCTGACCATCTGCAGCTTTATCCTTGCGGATACGATGTGTGGAGACGCTCCATCACGGAATCGTGGGGGCTCGCTTAGGGCATCCAGTCTAAGCAGACTCTGCCAAGTGCCCCAGGCAAGCCTGAATCATGTCCCAAGATTGTCTGATACTGTCTTGCTGAGATACCCCTGCTGTGTTCCCCCTCCCTGCAATGAGTAAGGAACCCAAACCAATCAGATACGTTCCTGGTGCACTCTGGGAAGGCACCCACCTTTGTCCAAGGCCCCACAGTTGACTGATGGGCTTATACCTCAGAATCATCTTTTTCCAATCCCAGGACCTGCATACTGGGACCTTCTGTCTAAAGTGCTCCAGTCCCTATGGTATATTCCCCACAGAAGGGAAGGCTAAAGTTCTGATAGTCACTCCTGGTGGCCCTGATGGCGGTACTACACTCTGAACTTCCCATGTGCTCAAAAGTCATTCCAGCCAATGGCTCTTTCTACTTGCTGACCATTTAAAATAAGAGATAATAGAATCAAACGCCTCTCGCTGTCCTGTGGGTCACAGCCTCTGGACAGGCCAGTATGTTTGGTAGGTAATGCCACAGCCTGTAAAGTGACTGTCTCTCCCATTTCTGTTGCTCTGCCCTCTTGGAGCCTGGCACAGAAGGCTGCCATGTGCTCCATTGGCGAAAACAGTTAGAATCCCTTTCCCAGTATTGTTCTTTGTTCTTGACAATGTCTCTAAACAGAGTCCTTTAGCCCAGTAAGTTGGAGGTTGAAGGAGACTGCTAGCTGTTCTAACA